TGCGGGCTTTCCTTCTAGAAAAAATGACTTGCCTAAGGAAGGTTGTTCTGACGTGATACGACATTGAATCGCAACGCTACGAGTTTCAGGAGCCAAGTCGATACCCAAGAGGGGATCTGTAAGAGATGCGCCCCGTGCAATACGTATTTGTGCTTGGACCAGATCAACGTTGAGTATCTGTTCTGTCACTGTATGCTCTACCTGACTTCACGATGTAATATGTTTAGCATACTAGATTACTAGTTTATGCCCACACCAACGGATATCACTTACATTCGCGGATTGACTTCGATGAAGTAGAAGTCATCACCTTGCACTAGGAACTCGACAGTTGCGGCATTTTCTGTTCAACCGAGTGTCAGTTTCATGAGAGTATTACAGGGCTTTGGCATAGAAGGGGCAAATAGGAATATTCGGGGTTGGAAAATAAATTGACCAATCACATACCGTATTTAACATATTTCGATAACCTCACTGCCGCATCATGCATCTTCTGTCGCGTCTCCTTAGAAACGGACACAGCCGGAGCAAGTTCAACGATCTTTTGGTGCTTTCGCTGGATTGTGCAATCCCGCTCGAGCAGATGAGCGACATTGCCATGTTTGTCGGCCAAAATTTGGACTTCGATGTGTTTCGGGCTAGGTAAGAATTTTTCAACGAATACTGCGTCGACGCCGAATGAATCTTTAGCTTCCGAACGTGCTTCGGAGAGGATGTTGGTTATATCTTCAGAAGGATCTCCGTAAAGTATTCGTTGCCCGCGGCCACCACCTTTTCAAAATCACGATTAGCAGGGAATTAATTGTAGGATAAGAATTAGCGCAAAATAACGTACCGCCATGTGATGCTTTGATTATCACGGGGAATCCATGCCTAGAAAGCAGCTAGGGTTAAACTTATGCCCTTGCTTGCGCGGTTTGAATGTATGAATGATTATTCGCTTACTTCGAAACAAAGTCTTCTATCTCCGAGATCTCCGAAACAGCGTGGTTTAAGCCCGGAATTGTGGGGACATTGCACTCCGTCGCGAGCTTACGAGCCGATATCTTATTTCCGAATCCGTCTAGAACGTTGGCGGGAGGTCCGATAACTACATGTCAAAATGTTAGATATTCGAGTCTTTTTTTTTTTTTAAAAAAAAAAAAAGAAAGAAAGAAAAAGAGCAATCCTCGAGATAATTTGCGACTGAAACTCACATGTTAGACCAGCTTCCTCAATCGCGCGCGCAAAATTGGAGTCTTCAGCCAAAAATCCGTAACCAGGATGTCTAAGAATATAAGTTAACGATCATCGCCCGTCACTTGCTGCCAGCGTGAAAAGTTTAGATTACATCAAGGTGGCTCCATGTTTCTTCGCAATTTGCAGAATTCGTTCGATATCTAAGTATGCGCCCCTAAAGTTGTGTGATTACTAGTTAGATTCGAGTCGAAAATTTTACAGATGGACAAGAAGTGTATTCACCGTGGTCCAAGTTCACCTGCTTCGCCTAGGAGATAGGCCTCGTCCGCAGCTACACCCCGATATGTTAGCGTCACTCAATGTTTTGTAAATAGCTAGAAACCATGCTCCTTAGCGAGTATGATTCGTAATTACCTCGATAGTGATCCGAATAACGATCCTCGTGAGCATAGATAGCAATCGATGGAAGCGAGAGCTCTCTCGCGGCCCGAGCAATGCGCACAGCTATCTCGCCGCGGTTTGCTATGAGGATCTTGTCGCTGTTCCATCTATGAGTTAATAACCTAGAGATTCAAAATAGAGGGCTTCTATTCGTAACATAGAAAGGCACGTACTGGGGCAGAAAGGTCATGTTTGGAGATGCGGCGCGAGTCTAAGACCTAGTGGTGAGCTTTACTTGCTAATACTACAAGATTCGAAGAATTTTGTGAATAATTCTCTAGATTCATTGAATACTACGAGGGACCCTATCGAGATCCTATATTGAACGTCGTTCACCTTTACCGACAACGGAGGATATGCGCCTCTCCTCTAACCCATTTCTCTCCCCAGACGCGTACACGAATAGCATCACTTTCGTCCAAGAAAGCATCACAGGGCCTAGGCTCCTACTGCAACATGCACGTGCAGCAAGTGCATCAAGTTCCACGCTAGTAATGCTAGATAGTTAAGGCAGACGATTACAGGGTCAAAGAAGGAAACTTCCGAACGGATAGGACATTGTACGACATGTAATAGTTGCATTACATTAGTGATTACCAAGTTCTGAGGGCAGTCAGATCGTAAATAAGGGGCGGTGTGTTATCAGAGCCCCTGATCTTGTAAGAGAGGGTCTTTGCTTGACAGGGGAGCTCCTCGTGCGAACTCCAGTTTGCAACTTAGTTTAAGCCACTTCGTCCGAACTATAGACTCCGATGGCCAGTTTTACGATAGTCCTTGTTAGTTCCAAGACGATACATGGGGAGGGGGTGTCTTTATTCAGTGTGCCCTACCGTAGCTAGAATCTTATACCTAGGATGGGGAATTTGAAATCTTGTTATTTTAGTACACGGCGGATGCATTACCCGAGACTGTCGATATCATTTATCACAAAATATGTAAGAAATTTTCATTAAGTCGTGATCTACCATTCTAGCATCCTAATTGGTGCAATATCGTATAAGTTCTCGGTTACTTGGACGCCCATTATAAGCACGTCGTAAATATCCGCTTAATTGGCATAATATATTCTTAAGTTCAACGCGAATTGTTTTCTTCAGCCAATCTTAATATAGGTGTTAATACTTAAAACAGTGGAAGCGATAGCCTTACGAGAAAAAAGGTATACCCCCTAATGTTCAAAATAAAGGAGTACATGTAATTTGGAATATTAGGTACTTCGATGTCTTCATAAGTGGGGCTCGTAGCGTGCTGGCGTCGAAGATTAAAGAGCAAGCTTTATTCGGGCCGTCCCTGAACGTTTTACAGGTAGATACCTGACTATACAGGCATCTATTTTATTCTCATGCTTGAAATTATTGACTAAAAAACATTAAGTTTACTCTAAGGTCGTCCCCTACTCTTAAGCGCACCTTAGTCGGCCTTTGTTTAATTGCGCTAGAACTACAGTCAGAGGTAAACATTCATTGCTCCCGTGTTCGAAGTGCATGTGGCCATGGGCTTGGCGTACATTAAAATAAGCCTCTTCTATGTAAGAGATGCATGTGGGTTAAAAGCTTAGCCGCTTATGATCTGAACAGGATGCGCACCCTTCTTGAGCCGGCACGGCCCGATCTTACATTGGCCCGCTTTTTCTCTCGCCTCTTTGGCTTGTCCGCGGATTTCCGAGGCTAATGCCGGTCTCCTAGCCGTTTGCTAGCTTAAATTGGCTTAATCTTTTGTCAGTTCGAATTCGAAGAATGGTGCGGGGAAGCCCCACTGAGGTCAGCTGAAGAAGCCTTACCTTTAGACCAATCGGAATCGAGATGATTATTATTTAGACTCCGCTTATATCTACCCGGTAATTTCAAAAGGTAGAACAGGGTAGCAGCGCTTATGTATTTGCATTGAGAATGAAGTTTAGTACTCGGGAGTTAAACCTCCGCTGCGGCACAGTATTAAGAAGTACTTATCAACCAATCTAGCGTCTTATTGCACCATATCTTGAAACATTGGTAATAGCTTTCAAACGTGGGAGATATCGCTGTGCCATCTTATTGCTGATGAGCTATACTAGTGCGGTTGAATTCCGCGCCCCAGAATATGCCGAAAATGGGTACAATTATCGTTGCAGATTTTACGCCTGCACACCTTATGTAGGTACCCTACCCGGTTGATGTTGCAATGCATACAATACCTAGGAGGTAGTCAGCCCAGTATACGGCATGTTCGACAAGGATCAAAGCTCCATTATTCTAGAAGTCGAGACACCAGGACACATAAAGTCAAGGCAGTGAAGTTTAAGTTAAGACTAATACCATGCGCCACATAAGCACATGAACATATACGCCACTTAGACGGTGACCTCGAGCACGCTATACGAGGCTTGTTTGGTGTTATCACTATTCCCCAATCAAAGTGATCGTAGATACGAGGATCTAAAGCGACTAACAAGTATTCGTCAGGAGAAGGTATGAAATGTTATATGTCAGGTTACACAAGCGGGACTATGTAATCTCACCTAGGTATTTTCTGCTTAGTCATCTTCGAGCTTCGGTAAGTCGTACTATGTATCAAAGCGAACTAAGGAAATTGGAGAAGGCAAAGTTGGAGATTTCCGGGTTGTATATGTTAAATCCTGGTAGTTCCACTCTTGAATCTTTACTTTATAAGGTAAGGTTCACCGATTTCTCCACATGTGAAGTCTTGCGGTTCAGCTGAACTGAAAACCTTTGGAACCGCATGGCTTTAGCAAGGTTGTAAATCCTTGAATCTGATCTTAATAAGCTACCTCATCGGCATGGATCTGCGAAGACTACCTATACTAGCGTATAGATTAGCGTATAGAATAGCGTATAGAATATAGGATCTTAAACCTGGCGGCTTAGCTCATCCAAGCCAAAAACCTGATTGTCTAATTCCTTGACCGTCTAATGCCATCATTATACTGACGTAATATCGTATATCGTAATATCAACAGAACAACATGTGTCGTTAATTTAATTTGTACTTTTGATTCAGTTCTTATAACCAAAGATGGTGAATATGTCATTAGCTCTTACTTCACTATCCGTACGAGATCTCCGTTTAGCCTATTTGGCGGTTTGCGGAATCGAGCACTGAAAGAAAAAAAAAAAATCGACGACTAAGGTCCAAATGTAGGTAGGATATGTACTCTTATAATATTTGTCTATATACCCAAGTAGCTCAAGATCTACAAAAATGCACAGCAAGTTAGATTTGACGTTTAGATCTCTATAATCTTGTACAGCTCACGTCAGCTAAACTAATGCATTTACCCATTATCCATCACCCGTGATCCATTATACCGTTTAGACATCGTCGCAAAAGTTGATCTAGTAAGGACAATCGATTTCGTAGTATGAGGTATGAGGTCCGTTTACTCACCGCGCGGCCGTCGCCGGGACCCCTACCCTATGTGGTCTTACAATCGCCAAAAATATCACGGGTACAATGGCGATTAGTATAAATGCCAATAATGTGTTGGCCCACCCATAGCCAAGTCTTTCGTACAAATATGGAGCAGCGACTGGCAAGAAGGCCCCGCCTATGTAACGCAGAGGAAGGCAAGCCGCGACGGCGGAGGCCGAGCGTTCGCCGAAGATATCGACGAGGTAATTCATGATGGGTGTGACGCTACTCGATAAAGAAAACCCGTACAACACGGTGGCCAGGGCGGGAACGATCCAGTGGAATTGCTTCTCTAGAGACCACCCATAAATCAGGAGGCCAGCAGGGAAGGCTACCATGGCAGGGATGGTGGGAATCAGTCGGTTTTCAGGGTGCGGCGTAGTATTCTCGTCTGGCTTCTTCATAGAAAAGCCACGTAATAAGAAAAAGTCGAGGGTGAAGCGGCACATGACCATTCCGCTAATTGTGCCGATAGCTGTGAATGTTGGTTTATTGCTAAAGCCGGGATAGGGATTTTAGACTTACTTGTAGCAATGTAGATAAGACCGGATTCACTCTCGGAAAATCCGTAGACTTCCTGGAAGACGGTGGCGTTCGTAGAAGCTAGAAGGGAGAGGTAACCGAATATGACTCCAACGTACACCGCCATAAGCACTGCAATGCGGGAACTTCCTAAGATGATGAAGGGGCGTACCACGAGCAGGGCAAGCGTCTTGACTGTTGTCATGTTCCACCCTGTGAAGTACTTTGGTGGCGACTTGACTTTTTCCTTGTTAAGGCTAGCTTTCTTGAGTGCCTTTCGGCGTATTACCGGGACATACGATTCTCTCATAACAATGACTAGGACAGGCATCAGAGCCGCCGTGAGGATAGCCATTATCCAGAACGTCCAGCGCCAGTTGAGGTACTGCGTGATATATCCCCCAGCAATGGGGCCAACGGCACTGCCAAGGATGGGAATCAGACTTGTTATTGACATGGCGGATCCACGCTCGTGGATAGCGAAGAGATCCCCCGTGATGGAGGGATTCAGGCCAATAGAGGCGATGGACGCGCCACCTAAAAATCTGAAGACAATGATCATGCTAAAGCTGTTGCTGAATCCTGCGATCATGGTAAAGATGAGAAACAGGACATTGAAGAAGTGACAGACAGGCACACGTCCGAAACGCTCGGACAGTGGGCCAACATAGAAGGCTGACACGACTTGGCCCAAGTTAGGAACGGTAATGTAGAAGATTGAAAGAAAGTTGTCGTAATTGTTGAACTCCTTCTCGATAGACGTGCTTGCAGGAGCGTTGATGACGAGAGACATGGAACTAAGCATTTGGCATTAGCACACCTTGCTATCACCATCACAAGGATACTTGGAACATACACCATCAAGGACATCAAGGACAGGACGATTATGATGAACCACCTCCGCGTACGAGACCAGTTTTGGGGCAGTCTGGGGTCAGAATCTTCCAAATCTGCACCGGCGGGGACTGCTTCAGCCTGGGACCCATCCGTTACTACTTTCTCTCCGTTCGACGTGGACTCGGTCACAGGCTCACTTGACGCTACTGCAGGACACGCAGTATTATCCAGCATAGGCGTCGGCGCGCTACTGATACTGGCTCTACTGACATCTTGGCTACTGACACTGCCGCCGATGGTACTGGACTGACCAGTACTGGGCTGCGTAGACACCATCGTGCCCTGGATCAAAATTGTGCCGCTGCAAAAAGAACGCGGAAAGGCGGTTAGTAGAAATAGGAGGAAAGGAGACAGTGTAAGTGAATGCGAAATTTATACAGACAAAAAGGATTACCTGATAAAATTAGGTAGCTATGAGCTACAAACTAAAGGAGGACACTAAAAACGGGAGTTACCAAGGCCAAGCACAACTCTAGCTCCATCTCGCGTTTTCTGAGATATCCCTTGCGTTTTCTGGAATAACCTCTCCTGCAACGTCTCGTACAATACCGTGCCGCAGTTGCCCTGATACCAACTAGCTACTTTGGGCTTGCGAACCCGCAATTTGTCGACGAGATTCCATAATACCTTGTCTTTCAGGGCACGGACTAGCCTCAACCTACGTTCTAGATGGAGTCGACGCCATTCGGGATCCAAAATGCGTAGAAGAGCTCGAGCCTGATTGGAGGAAATCTTTGTCCGATCCCGAATAATCCCTGCACGAGACTATGTAGTATGTACCTTTACGACACCCCCTGAGCTTGAGTTAAGGACACCCTGGGGTTGGATCTGTAATTCTTACTTCACAAAGCTGCCCTGTTCTAGCAAAAGTCAAGATTACCGATTACAGTACTTGATTGTAAAGACTAAACGATATATAAATAATTAAACTAATAAATAGGTAATTAATTATAAATATTTATAAAAGTTACCTTAAGAGGTAGGTAGGTAGTTATAAGAATATATTCACGAATTAATCTATTTTTATGGCAGTGTGTGTATAAGTATAGTTATGTTTTTCGTTTAAAGAAAAGTATTATCTATTTCAAGCATTACGCAGTAAAACGGCATGCCGCTATAGGTACTCGTTGAAGTCTTATGTCTCTTACCTGGGTAGGCAAGTAGTCAGGCTATAGTATAGTGGGGAGAAATTCCTATGGCGGGTCTCTGAAAGATATGGCAAACTTATAAAACCTTCCGTCTGTCGTGGACGTCTCTTGTTTGCCGTCATTGTTGTAAGGAGCTTAGACGAAGGTATGGCTGTTCGTAATCATGATTGTCTCACAGAACAACGCCGTCTTTGCTAGCCATAGCTCCCTTAAAAATGGCATTAACGTGTCCGTAAGCTCGATATCGAGCCCCCCATCTCCGGACTACGCTTCGTTTTTGAAGTCCAACAGACACGAGAGGAAAGTCATCTTCGATCTTCTCATCCCAGAACTCGGCTCTGGGATTTCAGCGGCCGTCAAAGCATTTACGGCTTGGACTATTCTCCTGTCGTCCCACGGATGCACGGCAGAACTTAGCATATTCGCCCCCGGATCAGGGGAATTCACCGGCCCCCTCAACATACCTTTCCAATGGAGCTCCCAAGTTGGGGACCTTATACGCCAAGTCAAATCTAAGCTTAGGGATGCTCTCCTAGGTGCGGCAGAGGCAACATCCTCGGATGATGCCAGTACATCTAGTGAAGAACAAGAGGGGGAATATACGTTTTTAATCTCTATCACTCGAGACCAGCTTGGCTCCAGAGAAATCTTACTCGAGTGCTATATCCACGATGATCAAATTTGTACGAGGGCAGTTACTCACGGTAGCCCCTCTGACAAGGCCTTGTCCCTTCACCTCTTCAGGCGACAGTACGAGTACATTGTTCGCCAGATTTGTCTTCCTGATAGCGATGAGAAGCCGCTTGTCGACTTGAAGGCCATCTCAGTCCAAGACCTCGATCATATCTGGTCTTGGAATGCTCGACCTCCGCGGGGAGTCGACGATGTATGCATACATGAAGCATTCATGGAGAGGGCACGGCGGCATCCCGATCTTCTGGCTGTTTCAGCACACGATGGCGAGTTGACATATCGTGAGCTAGATGATCTGTCGACTAGTCTGGCTCATGTTCTCATCCACCACGGACTCCAACCCCATAGCACTATCATTGTCTTTATCGAAAAGTCAAAATGGGTCCCTGTCGCCCAATTGGCAATCATGAAATCTGGATGCGTTTCTACCGTGCTAGATGCGTCTCTCCCACTTCAACGGCAGCAGGCTATCGCCGAGCTAGTTCAACCCTCAGCTATCCTAACGTCGCCAACATGCGAAGATCAAGCTAAATCTTTGAGTCTAAGCTGTCCTCAATTCGTTCTCGGCCACACCTCCAGCAAGGACTGGCCCACCGCTCAGCCCACATCCCTTCCAACAGTCAGCCCCTCGTCCTGGCTGTACATAGTTTTCACGTCAGGAAGCACAGGAACTCCCAAAGGCGCTATTATTAGCCACGCAAACTATGCCAGCGCGGTTGCTACTCAGCAGAAAGGCCTAGATTTCAGAGAATTTGATCGAGTCTTTGACTTTGCCTCATATGCATTCGACGCTGCCTGGTGTAACTTTATACATTCTATAATGATCGGAGGCTGTCTCTGTATCCCTTCCGACGAAGAACGGAAAGGAGACCTTGCGGGAGCCCTCCGTAAATACCAAGTCAATTACGCTGTCCTCACTCCTTCGGTAGCTTGGTTCCCTGCTTCCGAGCTCCCTGCCAGTCTCCGTACCATTCATTTTGGAGGAGAACCACTCAAAGCGGCTCTTGTCAAGGAGTTGTCTACCAAGTCAACAGTCATCAACGCCTATGGTCCTGCCGAGTGCTCAACCGTTAGCACTGCGATTGTGGCGGATCCTAACGATGACAACGATCCAACAATTGGTACTGGTCTTGGCGTTTGTACATGGGTCACCAAATTAGATGGGAGTGACCTTGTGCCTATCGGAGAGATAGGAGAGTTGTGGGTTGAAGGTCCTATAATCGGCCAGGGATATCTTCGCAACCCTGAGGTCACAGCCAAGACGTTCGTCGAGAATCCAAAATGGCTCCTACGTGGTTGCCCTAGCCTCTCAGGTATCAAAGGCCACACCGGTCGCCGTGGACGTCTTTATCGGACGGGTGACCTTGTTCGCTATAGGCCGGATGGCAATTTGGAGTTCGTAGGCCGCAAGGATTCTCAAGTCAAGATCCGTGGTCAGCGTGTTGAACTTGGAGAGATTGAATACAATCTTCAGCGCGCTTTAACGGACGAGGCCAGGGCCAAGAATGTGCAGATTATCGCCGAGGTCATCAAGCCGGATGGCAGCGATGTATCAACGCTTGTATCTTTTATTTTCATGGCGGTCAGCTCGGGAGTGTCGTCGGAGGATGCGAAGCCAATCCTTCACGAAGCTCTAGTGGGCATTGAAGACCGTCTATCCAAAATTGTACCACCTTATATGATACCCTCAGCCTTTTTTCCTGTTGAAGAAGTACCGATGACACCTACTGGGAAAGTAGACCGTCGACGTCTTCGCGAAAGCGGCGCGAAGCTATATTGGCAACAACTGAATGCCCAATCAGTGCCGGAAGAAGAAGAGACGGTTTCCGAATTAGAGGCCAAGATCCGTCAAGTTTGGAGCGAGGTCTTGAATCTTCCTATCCGGAGTATTAGCCTAGACTCGGCATTCACGCGTCTAGGCGGCGACTCCATTACCGCCATGCAGGTAGTCTCTCGTTCGCGCTCGCAAAACATTTCTATTAGAGTTGCAGATATCCTGAAACTCCAAACAGTCCGGCTTATAGCCCAATCTAGCAAGCCTGTTCAAGAGAAAGTGAATTTGGAGAGCGCACAAACCGACGAGAGCAAGTCTTGGTCCTTAACGCCCATTCAGCAAATATTCTTTGATAATAATCCTCAAGGCGTCAACCATTATACCCTCAGTTTTATCGTCAAGTTGGTTAGACAGACCACTTATCAAGAATTACTTGAGGCGCTTCTAACTCTCACTACTCGCCATAGCATGCTCCGTGCTCGGTTCCGCAAGCACACCGAGGAGTCTACATGGGAGCAATATATTGCGCCAGCTGGGCCTAACTCATTCCTACTCAAAGAGCATGAGTTCGTGGACCGCTCGTCTACCGAGCTTGTAGTCCAAGAGCGACAAGCAGGCTTGGATCTCGTCAATGGTCCCGTCTTTGCCGTGGACGTCTTCAATAGTCCCGATGGACCGCAAACACTTCTCATGAGCGCACACCACGTCGTGATGGACCTGGTATCCTGGCGTATTATTTGGCACGAGCTGAGCCAATACCTGTCCGGTACCACGCATCTACCACCGCTTGAGCTTTCCTTCCAAGCATGGTGCAGACTGCAGCAGGAGGAGGGCGAGAAACTCAGTCCTGCAACTGTTCTGCCGTTTGATGTTACCCCAGCCAATTTCGACTACTGGGGCGTGAAACCTGGCGAGGTGTTCTTTAGGGACGCTGAGTTGAACCTGTCTGTTGTTGACGTTGAAGCAACTGCTCTGCTTCTAGGCGCGAGTAATGATAGTTTCCGAACCGAAATTTTAGACATTCTCGTGGGAACTCTTATCTTCAGTTTTGCTCAGACCTTCCCTGATCGACGTCCGCCCCCTGTGTTCCTCGAAGGCCACGGTCGTGAGCCCGTGGCCGGGATGGATGATTTTGATTTGTCTGAAGTTGTCGGCTGGTTTACTTCTATCCATCCTATTGAGCTTGGTGGTGGGCCGGAAAGCTCCATTCTTGACATGATCAAGTTTGCCAAGGATGTTCGCAGTAGAGTGCCTGGCAAAGGCAGACCATATTTTGCCTCTCGCTTCTATAGCGAAGCTGGAAGGAAAGCCTTTGAATCTCACAAGCATGTTGAACTAATTTTCAACTACCGAGGTTCCTTCCAGCAGCTCGAAGACGCCAAATCCATCATAAAGCTTGAAGACAGGGAGGATCGCAATGTATTTATTCCTGGAGACGGTGCCGATTATCAGCGGCCGTCTCTTATCGACATAAATCTCCTCGTCCAGGAAGGCAAGTTGCAGATCTTCACAAGCTCTCATAGGCATATGCGAAACCACGACTCGGTACTTCGCTGGGC